CTCAGTGTTGTACACTTCTGCTGTAAACAGGCATTCATTTCCATTGAACCCACCACATATGTAGACCTGTGTGAAGACAGTTCAAGATTATTAAAATAGCTACCTCTGGAGTCTCCTGGGCCACATCCCTGTGGTGCCCCCGCTCCCCGGGCTCCCGCCCTCTGTGTCCTGCTCACCCCAGATCCATGCCTCCTGTTCCCAGGCCTTCCCTATGTGTGTGTGCTCGCCCCCAAGCCCCTGCCCAGCCCCCACCCGCCCCAGCGCTGTCCCGGCTCAGCCCTGACCCCTGCCTCGCCGCCAGGTGGCTGGACTCGTCGCGGTGCCTCATGCAGCAGGGCATCAAGGCCGGGGACACGCTCTGGCTGCGCTTCAAGTACTACAGCTTCTTCGACCTGGATCCCAAGGTGGGCCAGGCCGGGGTCGGGGAGCGGGGCTGGGTCAGTGAGACCTGGGGCCTAGGGTCAGGGGTCTCAGAGGCTTGTCAGCGTCTGTCTCTCTGTCCATTTGTCCATCCACACCCGTTCATGAACTCTGGGCCTGGGTGGATGCGAGGGCATCGGGGAGATAATGACCCCACATCCGTGTAGACCAGTGATGGCGAACCTTTTGAGCTCAGCGTGTCAGCATTTTGAAAAACCCTAACTTAACTCTGGTGCCGTGTCACGCATAGAAATTTTTTTACATTTGCAACCATAGTAAAACAAAGACTTATATTTTTGATATTTATTTTATATATTTAAATGCCATTTAACAAAGAAAAATCAACCAAAGAAATGAGTTCGCGTGTCACCTCTGACACGCGTGTCGTAGGTTCGCCGTCACTGGTGTAGACGGTGGTGTGTGCACCTGGGAAGCCTGCTCGGGCTCCGGGAAGGCCTCCTGGAGGAGGCAGCGTTGCAGCCGTGCCAGTGTGCCTGTCTCCTCCCAGCTCCTGTCTTCCTGTCGCCACTGGCCAGCCCCAGGCGCCATGCGTCCCTCTGCAAGGCCCACAGGCACTCCCTCCACCCACTTCCCTGTCCCCTTCACTGAAGAACTTCTAACCAGGGCCACAGAGCCTTGGGGTTGCGTGTCCCTTCTCCCCGGAATCCTGTCTCCTGGTTCCCCGCCTTTCCTGAGTGCTCGCTGGTCCTCTTCTCATCCAAATCTGTCCTGGTGTCTGCGTCCCCTCCGCGCGGGAGAGCACCTGCTGAGGCGCCCTGCCTCGTCTGTCTGTCTGTCTGTCCGCTGCTCACTTCCTGCCCACGTGTTTCTCATTCACTCGTGACCTCCAAGCGCGTGTCTCCCGCTGCCCTGCCGGCTCCTCAGCGACCCTTCCCTTCTCCCCGGGCGGCCACTGGGAGTTGGTGAGCCCCCGGCTCCATCCCTGCCTCCTCCTCTCATCCCTTCTCCCAGGAACCCCCGTCTTAGGGATTTAAGTGTCGTCTGCGAGCTTTTTATAGCCACCCCACTTCTCTCCCCCGAGCTCTAGACTCGCGTGTCCAAGTGGCCACCTCTGCTCAGGTACCTGCATAGGCCCCTCCGGCCCTGCGGGCAGCGGGACTCTGGGTCCCCCCCCGCCCCCCACCGTCCCTCAGGTGTCCTGCTGATCCTCCCTCGAACTGAAGCCCCAGCCCCCAGCTCTTCTCTTGTCTCTTTGTCCAGCCATCACTCTCTCCGGGCCTCCCAGGGCCTCCCACCTCCACACAGCTCAGGAATGAACTTGCCAACACAGGTTAGGTCACCTCGCGCCTGGACCAGCCAAAGGCTGCTGTGGCTGCCTCTGGTCCCAGCTGCCATTCCCCGAGGCCCAGTCCATCTGGCTCTGCCCACCGTGACCTCAATGCCCCTCTCTCTTTGTCCAGCCATCACTCTCTCCGGGCCTCCCAGGGCCTCCCACCTCCACACAGCTCAGGAATGAACTTGCCAACACAGGTTAGGTCACCTCGCGCCTGGACCAGCCAAAGGCTGCTGTGGCTGCCTCTGGTCCCAGCTGCCATTCCCCGAGGCCCAGTCCATCTGGCTCTGCCCACCGTGACCTCAATGCCCCTCTCCCACCCTCCCCCCCCACCCAGTTCCTTCCACCCTCACCACCTCCTCTCTCCCAGCCCCTTCCGCCCTGGGGACTTGCTTATCTCCTTCTCTTGCCTCTCCCGCCCTCTTGGATTGAGTAATTTTCATATTCCATTTTATCTCTATTATAGTAGCTTATTAGCTATGCTTTTTTTTCCAGCCATTGTTTTAGGGATTATCACACAGATACTATTTTTTAAAATATTTTTATTGATTTCAGAGAGGAAGGGAAAGGGAGAGAGAGGTAGAAACATCAATGATGAGAGAATCATTGATCAGCTGCCTCCTGTACGCCCCACGCTGGGGATCGAGCCTACAACCCAGGCCTGTGCCCTTGACCAGAATCGAACCCGGGACCCTTCAGTCCGAAGGCCGAGGCTCTGTCCACCGAGCCAAGCCGGCTGGGACTAGCACACATACATTATTACCATCTAGTAATATTACTGCTTCACACGGAGTCTGAGAACCTCACAACAGGACACTTCCCTTTCCTTCCTGGTATCGCCTTTCACTTCTCCACATGCCAAAGCCCACACTACGTGGTCAGACTTGTTGCCGTGGTGATGACGAGGCTGCACTGAGAAATAACTCCTTCATAGCATGTAATTTGTCCATTTGAAGTGTACAGGCCAATGGCTTTCGGTCTATTCACAGAATTGTGCGACCATCACAATCCATGTTCGAACATCTCATCGCCTGACGCTCTGTCCAGTGAGCCAAACCAGCCAGGGCAGCCCTCAATATTCATACAGTTCGTTTGGGGAGGAAGTGAAGATGTTTGGGAGCAGTTTGGTCCGTCCAAGGCTTGACTATTAATGACGGGACCAGAGCACCCTCTAATCCAGGGCTACCTTCCCCACAAAGGGAATGGCTTCTGAGCATCTGACGCGCCATGGATGACGCGAGTTCCCCGCCTGGCTGTTAGGAATGTGGACGTGCCCACCCAGCCGCGGGTCATGGCCTGACACACACACTCTCCTCAGTTCTCAGCTAAGGACTCCAGAGGAGCCCCTGCTGACCCCAGGCTCTCTCAGTGCAGGCACTGTCCCCTCTCCAGTTCTCTGTCCTGTGACTCTGGCTGCCTCGGACTCCCTGGTTCTCAGCTACGTCTCCTTGCTCAGGGGTGATGCTGAGCTGCGTGTGGGGCCTCCTCCCCGTGCCGCAGCCTGGAAACTCCCCAGGACGTCGGGTGGGGCGATCGTGGGAGCCACCTTTTCCCCTTTTCAGGGATCGCTGCTCCATGTGGTCTGTTGCCTAATATCTAAAATCCATTTGGTCTTCGTTGTTCTTTTTGTGTATCTGTGTGTGTGTGTGTATCTTTTTAATTAAATTTTTGTTAAAGTAATATAGGATGGCTTAAAGAGTTAAATAGTCCTGGTAGGTTTGTAAAACAGCAACAGCTTTAGCTGGTTTGGCTCAGTGGCTAGAGCGTCAGCCTGCAGACTGAAGGGTCCCCAGTTTGATTCTGGTCAAGGGTTCAGGCCTGGGTTGTGGGCTTGATCCCCAGTAGGGGGCGTGCAGGAGGCAGCCGATCAATGACTGTCTCATCATTGATGTTTCTGTCTCCCTCTCCCTTCCTCTCTGAAACCAATAAAAATATATATATTAAAAAAAAAAAAAGAACACGAATGCTATGACATTTCATATGTCTTTCGGTGAACATAGGTACACATTTCTTTAAGAAATGGGGAAGTTAACTTTTTTTTAAAGTTATATATTGATTGATTTTAGAGAGAGAGGAAATTGTATTCCAGTTATTGATGCATTCATTGGTTGCCTCTTGTATGAGCCCTGACTGGGGATTGAACCTGCAACCTTGGTCTATGGGTACGATGCTCTAACCGACTGAGCTACCCGGCCAGGGCCAGGCACACATTTCTGTAGGGCGCATACCCAGAGCGGAATTGCTGGGTCCCAGGGCAGACACTGTGATAGGTAAACAGCTTTCCAAAGTGGTTGCACCAACTGACACCCCGCAGCAGGGTGGTTCCACAGCCTCACCAGCCGTGGCATTTCCCGTCTTCTCCACTGTGGCCATTCTGGGAGGTGCGGAAAGGTCCCTCATCTGGGTTCTTATTTATATGTTTTTCAAAACAGCTTCACTGAGATACGATTCACATACCATAAAAGGCACCCATTGTAAGCATTCAGTCTGGTTATTTTTAGTAACTGTCACCACGGTCCAATTTTAGAACATTTCCGTCACCCACAAGGTTCTCTAGTGCCCACTTGTAGCCATCCCTCCTCCCACACCTGATCCCAAACCACCAGGGACTCGCCTTTGATGTGGCTTTAATTTCCATTTCCCCGAGGACTAATCAAGCTGAGCCCCTTTCATTTTGGCCCTCAGCCACTTGTAATGCTCTTCTGTGAAGTTTCTGTTCAAGTTTTTCCCCCAATTTTTATGTTGACGTCCCTGTCTTTTCATGCTGCTTTGTGGTTCTTTATGTATTGGGTATATGAGCCCCTGGTCAGATCGATATGAATTTATTTTTCCACTCTGGGCCTTGCCTTTTCATCCTCCTATGGTTAATTTTATATACGTGCTGCCAAAGCGAGCACATTAATGGCTTATTTTGGTAAAGTTCCTAATTTTAATAGACTTTGATTTATATTTCTTGTACAATTAACATCTTTTTTTAATGTTTTATTTTTTAGAGAGAGAGGCAGGGAGAGGGAGAAAGAGAGAAACATCAATGGGAAACTGATCGGCTGCCTCTTGCACGCCTCCCAGTGGGGGCGCGACTGAGCCAACCCTTGGCAGCTTTTCTTTTCTTTTCTGGCAGCTGTTTTGTTTATAGCTCTTATCACACTCCTCTATCCACTGAGCCAAACCGGTCTCGGCACTTTACCTATTTATTGATTGGTTTACTCGGTCCCCCTTCTGCCCTCAGCAAAAGTTCCGAGGGGTAAAGGTGCCAGTCACCTGGGCCGATGGGGCAGGCAGGCTGTGAAGCTGGGTTGGGATCGTCTGCCCACGTGGGGCCGCTCAGTGAGCTGCCACAGCCCCGAGGGCAGGGCCGAGGGCTGAGGCTCCAGGGGCTGGGCCCAGGGTGCT